AAATACTTACTTGAATTTGATGACTTTAGAGCCTCCCAGATATGTTTCCTTCTTCCCCAATACGTAGTAGCCAGAGAATTTGAGAGAATTGATTTCACTGAGTCCTTAGGGTAAAATTTGATGGATCGTTTCCCATTGTTACAGTGATTGGTTTGGGGCAGGCATATATTTCAGACTGACACCAGTCAACGTTTTGTGGTAGTGATCTAGCTACTTAGGATTGTCTGATGAGAGGAAAACACAGGACTTTTGCCCTGAGGTCATGGAAGACAATTCACTTTCTCTCCTTTGGGCTACAAACAAAGTCACTCGTAAAGTAGTCCCAGTTACTACTAGCGGTCATTCTATTCCCATGAGAAAAGCAAGCCATCAGAAGACACCATTGATTATGTGAGAACGGCAAGATGGAAAGATACTGTCCACTAGTAGCACTGCAAATTAACCTCGAAGCACTTTTAACTTCTGAACCTTCCAGCCATATGAGCCAGCAAATTCCCTGATGAGTTAACTCCCACAGATTGGCTTTTCCGTTACTTGTAAGTGAAAGTATTCTTCACAGTACAACTTCCATCAGAGATCATCCACTTGACTATGCAAATGAGAAAATCCTAGCAGAGAAGATAACTTTTCTTAGACATTGCTTCTTATAGTTCCCTATTTTTACCTAGTTCATTTTTATTGTTTGACACTAGATTCTCTATTGAAAGTATATGAAAATTATTAAGGAAGTGAAAATCCAATATTTGGAGAAATTATGTTTAATTTTCTAGATAATGGATTGGTAAGATATTTATCAGAGAAGTAATTAGGGAATAATGGACACAGTTTCAACAGAGCTTTTAGTAACAGCATTAGAAGAGACATAAATAATATTTATATTAACTGTAGAAATAACTTGAAAGAGAAATTTCTCAGCAAGTGTCCAGTCTGACAAGCTATAAAACAAGACTACTTTGAAGCATGCCCATCTCCTGTATCTTGGAGTGTGATAGGCATAAATAACAGATGTTCTCAAATGTATGAGTGACCCACCCTCAGGAAGTGAAACCTATAAAAGAAAATCAGTCACAGGAGAAACAAAAAGATAGTTACCAATATAATAGTAATGTTCTAAGAAAACAGTCAGTGTAAGCAAACAAGGATAAATAAGAACTAGCCTGAAAGTGAACAACTGTTTTCTAGGTAAACATCAACAATGATAAGAAAAGTAGAAGTCTACAAATTAGGCTTCACTGGTTGAAAGCCATAAAAAACAATTCTGGCTAAGGAGAGAAAAAGGGGAAATAACTGGGAACATACTGAACATCGTAGAAGCAGCAGAAGGCTGAGCTAGATTTAGTAATGTGGAGAAAACATTCCGGGGAGGGTTGGGTCAGAATGTGCTGCTCAAGGAAGGTGACAAACAGCTGGTGATAACCCAATTATCAACGGACTATTTCAGTGGACTCTGTGAGTATTTTACGGGAAAAAGATTGAAGAGGAAATAAAAAAAAGAAGCTACGATTTCAATAATTTTCCTGTGCAGGGAAGCACAGGAAGAGATGAGATGAAGGCGATTTATCTGTCTTTAAGGGCATGCTTTTATGATGATGGGACTGAATCCCTGCCTGGAACACTCCCTCCTGCAAATGTCTGGAGGCTGCTTCTTTGTGTCACTCACACTTCAGCCCTGTGTCACCTCCTGGTCCTAGTCTCTTTACGCTGTCTTATTTTCTTTATAGAACTGTGTCTATCTTTAACAATGCTCTGCATATGTTTCATTGTCTCTACCCACTGAAACATGAACTTCAAGAGGTCGGTAGCTTCATCTTGCTTACCACTGTAATACAAGCATAAAGAAAAATTCCTGTTACATAGCAGGACCCCAGTAGATATTTGTGAGATAAATAAATAAGCAAACAAATGCTTGAGACGCAAAGTCCCAGGATCCAGTTGCTGAATAGACAAGCTCAGAGGTCCTGTAGTCCTTTGTCTGGACAGGGTCTGTTCCCCTTCTGCCATGTGGTCGGAGTTTGTTATCTGAATTTACTGTCCTCCCAAGGGTAAATATGAAGGGAAAGACAGTTAAGTACTACCAGAGACAAATGCTCCCTGAAGTAAAGAACAGTAAGCAGGAGAAGGAATGTTCCTTTCCTGCCCTAAATAAGCTAGAAATGAAAAGTTTACATTCCTCCTCATTAATTAAAAGCTTTCAGTCACATCTCTATGATTCCCAAGGAAAGACTTCATGACCAACAGGGTAAAATCTCTCTGCTCAGATAGATAAACATCTCTCTCCATTAAAACAAGCTGGAAGCCTGAAGATAATTAGACTCACTGTGTCAAGCAATCAAAAACACAGGGAAGAAGACAAAAAGCAAGGATAAGTGAGCTGACTAATTCTTAGGCAAAACAGAAGGAAAGCTTTTGCAATCAGCCAGAAGATATTTTGGTTGTGGTTCATGGAGGGATCTGTGTACCTATTTGTTCAATTGCTTTGACTTCTCTATCATCTTTCCCTCTCCTGCTGTCCTCCAGTACCACAGGCACTCTTATCCAGAGTCTCAGATGCAGGTTGTAGCAGACACCTTCATTTCATCACAGTAAGAACAGACTGAACTGCAGTTCAGCTGCTTGAATAGGGGCCACAGGATCGTACCTTCTCGGGAGGAACACCTGGGAAGTCCTTTTATTTGCTTTCGTGCAGTTGTATTTTAAGTTCTTTTGACCTCCTAAATTAGAGGAGTGTTTTTGAAATCCAAGGCCTGTTTCATTTTTTTTCTAATTGGACAGTTATGCCTTCTAGAGCAATAACCCTGATAGAATGATCAGCTCCGCGAGGGCTGTATCAGGCTCGCACCTGTCTCACATCATGTCTGGTACACAGTGGGATTTCAGGAAATATTGGGAGAATGAAATAAAAAGAATGAACAATCAGAAGATGACTGGACAAGTCAAGCAAGCAGGCTCCAAAGACATCTCCTGTGGCTTTCTCTCCACGCCTCAGTCATGCTACGTCATTATCCTTCTTCTATCTTGCTCTTTCCTTACTGCTATGCTTTTTTCTCCTACCTTCCTTTCTGATCCTATTAATATTTGTTCATCTGAGCTTGATACAGTACCCTGATAAGCATTAACAACAAAACATAACATATGCATACATCCTAAACCACATGGTTATAAAAAATACATATTTGACAAGCCATAAGGTAAGAATTTTTGTCTATAATAGTTTAAGGGTTATATATTTGTCTATAATAGTTTAAGGGTTAATAAGTCAAAAATGTTTTTTGAGTTTAAAATAATATTAATAACAGCAGTAGCAATGATATATATAGTATATTTCTAGCACTTTTGTTATAATGTTCCCTTTTCCCTTTAGATTTAGAAAGAAAAGATATGGTTTTCTTAAAATTCAGTTCAGCTTTAAGATTATTTGAATGATTTTCATTCTTTAAACATTGTACTTGATTTAATCATAAAAGAGCAATACCACTGATTTGTTAGTTAGCCATCTCAGTCTAGTATTCTGTAGACTAATATATCTTTGGTAAACCTGAAAATTTCTTAACCACCTCCTCTGGAATCCTTCCCAGGGAGTGTTCCGTTAAGGAGGAGTGAGATTTGGAAAGTCATTTTTTTTTTTTCAAGGACTTTTTAAAAAGTCTGTTTTTATACCAGGCATATCTCTCTGCCTATCTTTTTGATCAGTGAGACTGTACGATAAGATTAATAACCATTATGAATAATTAGTGCCTACAGTGCCTTTCACCAGCCATTACTGAGATGACCTTCCTTTCATAAAATTTTATGAACCAACTATGTGGTGAATATCAGTACATTCCTCTAAAATCCACTGAAGTATAATCTACTGTGGGTTCTCAGTAAGATGGAACAAGGAAGCAGATTGGAATGGTAAGTCTGGAGAAGAAAACAAACAGTTCAAGTGGTTCTTTTAAAAGGAAGAAAACTAAAGCATACGGAAATGAAATGATTTTCTGATACTTCATAGGCTGCTAACTAGTTTCAGGCCAACAGCCTAATCTGTTTGTACACACTTATTCAGGCAGCATTGACCTTTCTACCAGAACACCAACTGCTCATAGTTCTTTATCTATAGGGTTGTTTTACCAAGGAGCTGGGTAACTTGAACTTAACATTGGAGAAATGAATAATAATTTCACTATTTAATTGCTAAGTTCCAACTGTTGCTTATTACTAGTATTGAAATTATTTGATCTATATACTTTAACCAGAGAAACAAATTCTATGATTAGAAAAATTGGTGTCATATTTATCTAATCTATTTTGTTTTCGCTATGTGAGTAGGCTGCATGAATTCAGGACATAGGGATCAAAACCCAGCAGGGTTTTGGCTTTGACATATAGACTGCAGAGTTCCTACATGTACTTCCCTCCAGAGCAGGAAGTAGAGTAGATGTACCTCAAATGGGTCCACAAATGCCCCTGGGAAGTACAGCAAGTCACCAATAACTTTGGAAACCCAACTATGGATGAATAGTGACAGTGAGCAGAACACTAGGAATCAACACGGTGTGTCTCCTCTGAAACTCTGTGTTGGGAACAAAAGCTTGCATTAGAACATGGCCCAGGGGGATCTTCCATCTGGGGCCTATGAGTCTCAGGGAAAGCGGATTATCTCAGTAAGGGATCTATGGAAAACTGTTACTTCTTGTAAGTCTGCGTGTGCACACGTTTCAGATAGCAGTGTGATGACCGTTTTTTCAGCATTGGTTCTAGATATAAACATGCCCTGGTCTGAGCACAAACCCGCAGCTTCAGTTTCACTTTGAGTGGGTTTTCCACAGACGATGACGATGTGATGACTTCATCTGGTCTCACTCTTGGATCTGATTTGTGAGATGATTTGAGGAGTTATTGTGGCTTAGCAACTGAGGGTTTTTTTTTTTTTTGCTTTGGGAATGTAACTCTTCCTACCATTGTAGTTGCCTAGCAACAAGGGAGGGGTGAGTAACAGTGAGGATTCTAAAACTCTAAGGACTAGGGGTAGTTGAGGTCCGTCCAAAGGACAGTGGACCTGACTTGAGATGGGAGAATGTTACAGCACAAACTCTATAGCCCCAAACTCTGAAAACCCAGAGAGCCACAGGTAAGTTTCCAGCTCCTCTTGTCCCCAGAATAATTCATGGGGATTTCTAGATAAAGTAGCCTTCACTCAGGACTTCAAACATAACCTTCCTTTAAAGTCTGTGGGGAAACATCAAACAGACTTTTTCCTTTCCCGGAGAGTGACCTTTTTCTTTGGATGAGGCTATTTCCCCACATCACAGGGCAGGGCCTGACACACAGTAGGTTTCAGGACATATTTGTGGGATGAATAAAATATACTTCATGCGCATCTCTCAAAGTCACGCAGTTACCCGCTCCCACTGTATCACTAGTGTGGGAAGGGCTGGGATGTACGGATCTCTCAGAATTGCCGATAGGCAGTGTCACCATCACCACTCTGTCAAAGATGGACTGTTCATTCCCTCCAAGTTCCCCACATAAAAACACAAATCAACCTTGGCTGTAAGTACAAGTATTAAAGTGTAGCTTACTTACAGTCAATCACTGAAAAACGTGTTGCTTAACTCAACACTTCTTTCCCCTTCACATGTGGAAATACCTTCCACCTAGCATTTTATTTCAAACCTTAAAAGGGAGACTGTTGCGCCCCACTCTGTGGAACAAGCTGTCTTTGGAGATGAATAACCTCTGTGAGGTGCTCACCCACATCTGTGGACCTACACCGTTCAGTCTTAAAACACAGTTTCCTTAGAAGAATATATGAAATTCACTTTTAACCTTGGGTTTGTGGCTCATAGGTGCAATGGAAAATTCATGAATCTTCTGACACTTGATAGAAACTCATTTCTATATGCAGCAGTGTCCGTAACCCTTAAATGATAAATAATCTTTGGGAGGGAGAAAATACTCTTTTGTCTGTCAAAGCAAATAAAATGTAGCAAATACTCCTTTATTTAATTGCTCCTAGCATATCGCCTAAAGAGATAATGTGCCAATGTGCAGACAGTTGGAGAGAGGAGCATAATGTTACCAAGTGGAGGAACAAGGCCCCATCATTAACACCTCTGACACGAACAGTACAGTGTGCAACCAGCGGGGACGCAAGTACCAAAGCAGGCCACTGTTCTCGCCGTAAATTACTATGAGTGCTTCTGTCTTTCTGGTCCATGCGGCTGAGCACTTTGTGCAGGAGAGAGTAGGCTTTTGTGATGGGACTCAAGGAGTACGAGCCTTCTTTTTTTGTTTTGTTTTGTTTTTTTGTTTTTGTTTTTTCTCCGGTACCGGGAACCGAACTCACGACCTTGTGCTTGCCAGGCAGGCACTTTGCCGCTGAGCTAAATCCCCAGCCCCGTGTACGAGCCTTCTTGATCCTGAGGTTTCATTTAGTTCCTGCACTTCCAAGCAGAACAAACACGTCTCCTGCGTCTTTTTCCTTGCCTTTTTCTCCCTTCTTTTTTCTTCTTATGCCCTTCAGACGGACCTTCCCCACAGGTTACATAAACTGAATGGGAACTTACTCTTGAGTTGTCTAAGAAATACAAAATTAGACCTGGATGCAACTGACCTAGAGAACAGAAAAGCATTTTCCCAGGAAATGCTCTGCTGTAAGAACTGGATGCCCAATAGCTTATTTTGAAATCAGTTTCATTAAAATAATTTATTCACATGGGCTAATTGTTGACTAATTACTGTCCCAATTCAACACAGAAAGTATGGAATAAAAGTTTAGAAATCAGATAGATATTTCTGAGGAGTTTAGAAAAGATAGATACTTCAAAAGGAAGAAAATCCTTATATTCTTATAAAACACAGAAAAAATACTGCTACAAGGTTTGTATGTCATATTATTACTTCATACAATGCAAATTTAAAGTAGGTTTTCCAATTTCTCCATTAATCTTGAAGCAAGAAAACATTCCAAAACACAGCCTCATAAACAAATTCTAATTTATTTTAACTCAAGACCAATAGGCTTTCTAAGCCTTTCTTTAATTATTGTAAAATACGTTTTCTCTGTGTGTGCTAAATTACTATGAGTGTTCTGAGACCATGACTCATGACATTTAAATATTATTGTCAGGTAGCCACAGCATCCTCATTTAAAATCAGTAGTTTTGTTTCAGGCATTGTTAAAAGAGGGTAGTTTCGGGGCTGGGGATTTAGCTCAGTGGCAAAGCGCCTGCCTGGCAAGCGCAAGGTCGTGAGTTCGGTTCCTGGTACCGGAGAAAAACCAAAAAAAAAATTAAATAAATAAAAAATAAAAAAATAAAAGAGGGTAGTTTCAAGTAATACTTTCTGTACTGTGGGGCTGGGGATTTAGCTCAGCGGCACAACACCTGCCTGGCAAGCGCAAGGTCGTGAGTTTGATTCCCGGTACTGGAAAGAAACCAAAACAAAAACAAACAAACGAAAAAACTTTCTGTGCTACATTTGTCACACATCTGAATATGCACATAAGAATCTTATATGCACAATGTTTTTGTTTTGCTTGGTCTCATTCAGTGACTGAATTGCTTTCTTGGCAATTCAGGTCCGTCTGAAGGGCATAAGACTGAATTGTTCTCTTGGGAGAACAAAAAGTAAACAAGTCGTAGTCCTTGTTCTCTATGAAGGTATCACTGAGAAAATGCAAAAACACAGTAGACAAATAATTACATACATCATGAAACATAATAAAGGATGTAAGAGACAGATGTCCAAAGCCTGCAAATAAAATAGGGACAAGTTATCCTTCTGATTGGTAGGCTCAAAGAAACTCAGGAAAAGGCAGCATTAAGGTTATGTTGTAAAGAAATGGCAAAACTCAACATATAGGGAAGAGAGCATGCATCTTCTGATGGAGGAAATCACTTCTAAAAAGCATGAACACATACTCTGGATCCAGTGGGTAATATGGTTTGGTATACTCAATTTTGTTTGGTATACTCTTAGAAGATGAGATTAGGGTGAAAGTAAGAGGACCTAGTTTATTAAGGTTCTTCAAAGCAATTTTTCGGTTTATGCAGAAACTTTCATGCTATTTTCTAATTCATAATAAAGAGGAACTGTCAGAAAACATTTAAATACCAGGTTTTGTTGATTTCAAGATGATGCTAGTAAAACAATTATATCTCTCAGAATTCAATATGTCCTTCCAGTGAGAATTTGATTAATTTTGTTCAGAAGTCACTGATTACTTAATTTGATTAATTTTGTTCAGAAGTCACTGATTACTTAAAATGTGAACATTTTAAGTGGCTCTAAATTTTTTGAAAAGGAGCCAAATTAGGATATATGTATAGAAATACAAAAATTAATATTCACTTAGGAGACTGGAATGGGAAGCACCTTGAGATTTTAAAATGAAGCTTATTCGTTGATAACAATAGAATGGAAGGTATTAAATCTATGACGTTTATTAAACTATTTGCTTATTAAGTCAGCAAATATTATTTACTGATCTTCTTTTTCTTTTACTTTTTTTTTTTTTACTGATCTTCTTATCCCTCCATGAGATGAGAGAAGTAACAAAGGCATGAGAAAAAATATCCTATATTCAAGGAATTTACCTTCTCAGTTGAAAGAGACATACTAAATACAATAAATAAGCAAAATGAATATGTAGTATGTTTGAAAATGATATGTACTATAAAATATTGTAGGGTTAAGAGGTGAAGTGTCAATTTTATGGTACATCCCACTAAGGTATGGCACGTCCCACTAAGAAGGTGATTTCTCAGCAAAGACAGAAACTCTGAAAATAAGCTTTGTGATAAGATATGGAGAAAAAATACACCCAGGGCTTTAGAATGCCCTCGGAGCCAAATGAAGACTGTCTCTTCCCTCTCTTTCCTTTTTTTTTCTTTCTTTGTTTCTTTGTTTCCTTGTTTCTTTGTTTCCTTGTTTCTTTGTTTCTTTGTTTCTTTGTTTCTTCCTTTTCCTTCTGCAGTTCTGGGGATCAAACCCAGGACTTCATGCATGCTAGGAGAGCACCCTGCCAATGAGTTATAGCCCCAATCCCTGATGAAAGTATTCAGAGAGGAAATGATGAATCATGTCAAAAGCTCTTAAGTAAGATGACCGCTGGAGACAGTAATGTGGAGTTCCTCAGTGAACTTGCCAAGTGCCGTTCCTGTGGAGTGGTATTGCTGGGAGGCTGATTGGAGTGGCTTTGGCCAAGAAACAATAATAAAAGAAAAGAGAAGAAAAGAAAAAAGAAAGGAAAGGAATTGGATGTGGTGAAAATGTAGTTTTGCCATGAAAGTGTTCAGACTAAGCAAGCAGAAACTAAAGGAGCAAGAGAGTGCAAACTGCACTAATAATATGTGTGTAAGCAAATGATCGAGGGGGAGGGAGAGACAGAAAGAGATAGAGAGACAGAGACATAGACACAGCGATAGACAGAGAGACAGGGACATACCGAGAGAGAGAAAGAGAGAGAGAGAAAGAGAGAGGGAGGAGGAAATATAAGAATTCTCTGAGTCTTGTTTCATAGGAGAATATGCTTTTCTCTTTCCTTTTTTCGTTTTTTTTTAAGTTGAAATAAGAGATTCTGCAGGTTTCCAGAACAGATTGTACTGTTCAGACTGGTTATTCTCAAGAGAGCCTTTAAAGACTATTTTATCTTCTTGGAGTAAAGTTTACATTCCATTATTTTTATTTCCTTTTGAAATGTCCAGAAATTGACATTAGGAGGAAATACTTGAAAAAAATTTATCTTACATGTCACAGTGTTACAATCTATTTGATGTGAGGTGTGCATGTGCCTGCCTGAATAAAATTTTGGAATTCTAAACTCTTTGTTTTTTCAGCATGAAGTCTGAAAATTCAGAGGCAGATGTAGAACCAAACAGTAAAGTATCGGTAAGAAATAAACTTTGTATGATTTTTCCCCAATAACAGTTTAATTCAATGAATACTGAGGTTTCCTTGGTATCATCTAGTTTCCACAGTTTACTACTAAGTAAACTTTTAAAAATAATGCAGGAAATATTCTTTCCTAAGCAGAAGACAGGTAGATCGGGTGGAGCCACAGGGCAATGTTGCTGTTGGGGTACTCGGAACTTAGGTGTGGGATGGGTGTCCTTTCCCATTTCAGCATGTGAGAAATGCTACACTGCTCTCCATCGCCTCACCATACCAAGGACATCCTGGGCTATTTTGTAGCATTTGCTTGTAAATGAGGAAATCTGGAACTCAGACATGATGCAGATCCAGTACCTTACATTATTCAGTTTAGGCTGGGTTTAAATCATGCCTTATTTTGTTTAGCTTGGGTTTAAACCACAGCCTATCCCAGCTATAACTTGTTCATTCTCTTTCAAGTGAGCTGGCAGCACACCCATCTCTGACCTTTCAGTCCTTCCTCTTCCAGGAGATTTTTGATGCCCAGGGAAAGCTGAGCCCCACTTCTGCCTGAGCCCCTCTTCTGCCTCAGCCCCTGGTGGGCCCCTCCATTGGCAGAGGTGAAACTGTGAGAGTTATAGAGCAGTGTGGAGGCTGGTTTGTGGGTATGTAGAGGTTCCCTGTACCAGTTCCCTTTCAGAGACCTTTGAGATTTTCCCTTAAAAATTGTATTCCCTCAGCTTCTTTATTTCTGTTTTAGCACTCCACCTAGAGAGACTATGGAACAATCCTTCAGTCCTTAGACTCCATGCAGAGACATTTCTGGAACAATCCTTTCAGCTCTAAGGTAGCAATAGTGTCGTGTGAAAGAAAAACCATAGAATTAGTATTCATACAAGACCAAGCATGTGTGTGGTGGTATAGCCATAGACAGAGCCAGGATTCAGAAAAGTTGGAATCAGACCCAAATTTGCCTCCTACAAGCTGTGTAATGAGAGCTAAGTCTTTTGAACTCTTTGAGCCTTATTTTCATCTATCAAATCAATATAAGGTGACTTACTCTACCTTAAATAACATATTTAAATGTGAAAATTGTTGATAAAGTACTTAGAAATATACAAAAGTAAAAGGTGGGCACGGTGGTGCATCCCTGTGAAGCCAGTACTCGGGAGGCCGATCAGTCTGGAGCGCAGCCTGGGCTACATAGTGAGTTCAAGGCCAGCCTGCACTGCAAAGCACGACCCTGTCACAAAAAAGAGTAAGAAATGTAAAAGAGTATAGTGCTTTAAAATTGATAGTATTCAAATAAGGGTCCCTGTTTCTTTCAGTGTTTGGTAATTCTGGTCTTTCACTCACACCCCACTGACATCACTGGCTCGAAATGATCTGCACCCTCATGAGACGCATATCTAGAACCTCACATTTTCCCCGTTATTTCTTAAATTTTAGCATATCTAACCACTGTAGTTTGTCCAATGTGGTGTGAAGTAAACTGGACATAGCTCCTAAATCCATAGTAATTTTCAGAAGGAGGGTTTTGCTGGAGCAATATGTCAAGAAGAAATCAAATTAGATTTGCAAAATGGCTTCAATTAAAATTGTCATCCATTTCTAAAAATATTTTAATCTTGTATTGTTTTATTCAGATAGGGGAATCATGGTGATTAATTTTTATTTTTTTTAATTTGAGCTATTTATGATTTTGTTGCCTCAAGAAAGAGTGACCTTCATGCAGACCATATCAAAACTCTTTTTCTGTTTGGTGGGCACATTTGGGTCTGAGAAGGGGGAACTGTCTGGGCACCAGTCTGCTTATTGTCCTTTCTGCTAAAGATGCTGGTCTGGAGGTAACCTCAGTGACAGCATCCAGAACTGGAAAGGATGAGGTGCCAAATACCACCTTCAGGATTTCTGCCTGAGGCTCCCAATTAGCTCCCTGGAGTTCTGATCCATCCTTTCTAATTTACAGTTGATGCGATAGGGAGCTCTGGGGTTTGAAGAAACTGGCTCTGTTTTAGCTTTTGTCTTTTTACCTTTCTAAAAGCATACATTTAGCTGGAGGAAGTTAGAATTAGAGACTCCAAGGCCAAATCCAGTTGCTGGTGTCTCTTCCCAGCACACAATCCCTTTCACAGAATTCATAGAACATGGAACTCAGCAAAACAGATTTTGCTGTGTACCAAGGCTCTAAACTGCAAGTGGTCTCAGTTGGCTCTTTTAAATAATTATTTTTATTTTTGGTAGACAGATTAAGATGCAGGGTAAAACCTTTTCAATTGCGTGGATATTTCTTGAGCACTCAAGCAGATTTAAACACATTCTATCCTCTGTCACCGCTGAACTGGAAACACTGGTTCTTTATTTGCCTTTATGCATTTCTACTTTAACTCCTGGGTTCCTGGGTACATTGCTCTTAAGGTAAGATCTGGATTTTATTACTGTCTGTCTGCCTGCAACAAAATTTTGCCATTGAAGTGACTTCTCATTGGTATCATTTGAAATAGAACAAGTGGACTTAGCTCCAGGCAAAGTGTTGGGTGATTGAGGTCCATGTCCCTCAGATCCTTATAGTTCAATGGGAGAGTGGCATCCAACATCATCACTATTACATTGGTACTTTTCCTCTTGTTACTGTTATCCTCAATTTAGAAATTAAGAAACTGAGATTCAGGGAGGCTTAAGAGCTTCCAGGTATTGAGAGTTCAAGTGCTGTATATTCACTGTAGATAGTAAAAACACAGGCTAATCCAGTAAGAGTGAATTTAGAGCTGCTTTTCTGGGCCCAGGTGGTCCCCATGTATCTTAGCCCTATTTTGGACTTGTTACTTAAACTTTCTGTCTGCTCTGTTTTAATATCTTCTGTCAGAGAACAGCTAATGCATATAAATAATCTCATTTAAAACTATTCAGAAAAGAAAAATTCTATTAGAAGGGGGTTTGGCAGGAACAGGATCAGGACTATTTTCTCTGAACTACTCCTGGGAATCCCAGCACATACAGGCAAGTGGTGTAGAGTATCTGATGCAATTTGTGACCTGGAGCTGCACATCCCAAAGTAAGAACATGGGTATGATGCTGTTAGTGCCAGAATATGTACTAAGGAGTTCATTCCTTGTCAAAGCTAGGCTTGCTATAAACCTGAGAGGGTATTTCACTTTCAAGTCATTGTTTCATGATAATTAAAGAATTGTTACTTTATGTGCCAAAAATGTAGAAGCACTTTTGGGTTTTTAATATGTAAGGTCATTCACAGCACACTATTCAGGAGGTCAGTTTTATGTGAAGATCATAAAACAACTAAAAGATTTTAATTTTATAAATTGAGAAAAGTAATCCATATCTTATATAAATTCTGCTTCTCCTTTAGTATTTGCTATAAGATATCATCTATAAGTTTCACTGAAAAAATATATTTTAACATACTAGGATGTCTTTCAAAAGATTCTTCTCTTTGATAAGCAAAATTTTAAATCTTTAATAAATGTTGTTAATGTATTGTGCATTAAATGAACATTTCAAATGACTTAAAGTAGATATTCCTGTTCATTCTGAAAATGAGAGCAACTTAGAACTGCATTTCTATGTACACTGAAATATAAAGGTTTGTTGCTATTCTAGAAAATAGATTCATTTTTATTTCACCACTTTAATCAGTAAGAAATGGTAACTCCAGAACTTTCTGTTTTGCCTATCATCTTCCTTGCCACTTTCCTTACACCCTTCCTTCTTTCCAGCTTTACTGGGTCATAATTGCAAATTTAAACTGTACAGGTTTTGGCATACATATAATGCACATGAAGCTATCACTCCCAAACTTTCTCATGCTCCTATCCATCTTAAATTGTTTCTCTTTGTATCATCTTGCAGGTGTTGAATTGTTATTTCTTTGCTCCTTATTATTTGTAAGAGATCTTTCCTTTCATGATTGCTAGCTGCAATGCTGTCTTCAAGTTCTGAAAGTCTATCTTCAGTTTCATTCAAGTGATTTTGTCAGCTTTCAATGGAATTTTAATTTTTCTGATTATCTCTTTGAATCTGTTTCATGCATTCTAATTCTTTCCTATATTGTTCATTCAAGGTTTCCATCATTTTCCTATGCTTCCCTATTTTTTTTACCTGTATCTTCTTTAGATGTGATGAGCAATTCTTTCATTATGATTGTCATTTCATTTTTTACCTGAGAGATTATTTCTGATCTAATTTCCTCTACAGTGTCATGGAGTTGTTTCTTTACTTCAGTTACTTTCATTTCAGAAATGTCAAGTGTGTGACTTCCAATTTCATCTAAGTGTTTATCTCCTGGACTTGTTCTGGGTGGGCTGGAAGTCTAAGATTGCATTTTGCTCCTTTGTTTTGATGTTTCTATTTAAAAAAAATTTTATTTTGTTGTCTCTGATGATCCTTATAAGTTTTGGTAGTAGGTAGCTATATCACTAGGGTCAAGTCTTCCCTAGGAAAAGTCTACTCTTCAGGGATATCTTCCTGTATAGAAGTTTCTTGGTTTGTGTCTGTCCCAAGATCCTACCTTCCCAAGTAATTAATTAAGAGTGGAATGTTGGTTTTTACTTGGCTCTTTCCCAAGTCTTTTGGTGTAGGGCTGTGTTGAGGTTTTACCCCAGAGCTTCCCAATTTTATTACTCAAGGGACAACAACTGATTACAACAGAAATGACATCTTAGCTACAGTGGTACTATTAGCAATAATGATAGCATCCAACACAATTTAGCATCAAACTGTGGTAATAATTGATTTTGACTTTAGGCCATAGGAACAAAATCTATAGTTATATAAAGAACCAGTCATAAATTAGGAGTTTGTACGCAAAGTGTTTCCTCTTGTTAGAATGGATTTACCCTGGGCTCCTCCAGTTGAGCTGGTTGCTGAGTCCTGGTTGCCCATCCTGTGGTGTAGGGGAATGGGCCATTCACCTGGGTTCCTCCAGACTGAGGTTCCCATGGTGACAGAGAGGCTATAGGTGTGGTTTCTCCCCTCCCTCATGGCTCACTGAGGTTCTTGCA